TGATTACACATGCAATATTGCAGACTAATCTATGTGTCTTGCCAAAGACACATTCTTACTTGAAAATCCTAGTAAACATTAACATAATTTACTCTGAGTTCAATAACTAGATGACTGAGATGCAAGATAATAATGTATATAGAAATCTAGCTGACATCAGTCCTTTCATTATTCTTCAGGTTTATCCATTCTTCCATTTGTTAAGAATACCCTCCACCTTAGTATTCTAAGATCGACTAGTATTCTGAAGTAATCAGAAGAAATATTTTTAGAGCTCCTGTTATACAAATGTATAGTTTTAATAAAAGCATAATAAAATTATAACCTCACAAATGTATAAAAGTCATCCATACTTCAATTTCTTTGTGCTGAACAGTCCTGTGATTTGGTTCCCAAAATAGAGAAGAGGTAGTGGAAAAGTCTAGAAAATTATAAAAAGGGATAAAACAGGACTCAATGAACAGATATCGTCAGTTTGAGACCTAGCATTCTAAACAATGACAGTTTTATAATGAACAACTTTCATCAGGCACACCACAAGCCCAATGTTGTTTAAGTGTGGTTTAACGGCTTTAACACGTCACAGAAATATGATTTTGAAATTCAATTTACAACACAAGCACATGCATCCTCCTTTTCTTCAAGACTTTGTTCATTTATGAAGCCATCAATAGAACATCTATTATTTCAAGTTATGTTGGGCATGTATTCATAAACTGAGGTCACATTTAAATCAAGTCATTTGTTCATATGTGTACATTAGCAGCACACTAAGAATCTATGACATGATATCGGTATAAATACAGAAAACAGCCACTCTTAATACTGTACCATGGTTTGCTAAACAAGTTCTTCGAATACATAAGTTATGTAAATAGCCTCAAGACTCATAACTGGGGAGTTCTGACACAAATAAACATTTCAGCTATGTGAGGCAAAATCTTATCAAAGTTTACTTAGAAATAGGATCATTAATTTATTTATTCCAGCATACAGAAGATTGTATTTTGAGGGAATATTAATTGGAAGTAAGTCCTTTTCCATTTAAGTGATTGTATTTCTAAAGGGAAAATTTTACATCACTTCAGGAAGAGGCAACGGGAGCCTGTGTGGAAACTTCCCTCACCTCTTTTAAAAGGTGGGGGGGGAGAATTTAAACGCACACACAGGGACATAGTATACTGCAAAGCATTCCGTTTCAAAGAGTATTTCTACTCCTCCACGAGCTCCAAAGGCTTTTTTAGAAGTATAGAAAATGGGTCACTGAGACTTAGTCCTCTCTTAGGAAGATTGCCAATGCAAAGCAAATATACATTTAGTATTTATCCCTCTATTAAGAGAATAATACTATACAAAATAAAGGCTAGAATTCTGCATATTTAACAGCACTTTTTACACATTTTAAAGTATGTTCTGCCAAATACACCAAACAATACTTAATGAAAGGATTATTCATTACTTCCATCTCAATAATTATTAATTTTAGGAGAGAGGAAGGAGAGAGAGACAAGAAACATATCATACCTTTCGAGGTATATGTCTATCAAAATCTGGAAACTTGACCACCCTGAGTGCCTTTCCCACCCAAAGGACAACTACGGTAGCCAGCATCTGTAAGAGACGAAAGAGAAATCACTAGATTGGGTGCCTCTAATTCTCCCTGCCCACCCTATTTAAAGAATTTCTGAAACACAGACTTCAACGAACCTGGCCTAGTCCCACACAGAGTGAGGAAGGAAATCTGTAACAGACCACAAACATGTTAAACTGTATTAGACAGCCGAGAAACTTTGAAAAATCATACAGGAAGGAAAATGTTAATTGGTAGCAGGAAAAACAGCCTGCCTCTACCTTTATCCTCACTTAAAACTATTCTAAAATAAGGGATGTACTTCATATTCTTTGCCCTTGCAACCAACGCCCTTGCAAACGTAGTCCTAACATGTTCAGCACAGATGCACTTCTTATAGTACTTATTCCAGAAGTACATCAAGGTGCAAGGACACAGAACACAATCAACAAGAAAAACTACAGGGCACCTACAGGAGGCAAGTTAAAAACATGTAAGGAAGGAAGATTTCCAAGCAATCTTTAAAACAAGGGGGAGAATGGCAGGGCAAATGCAACCACAAACTACCCAAGTCAGTCAGTTGGTCAGTCAGTTCTCTGGAAATTTAGGGTGCTGCGCATGGCAACTCGCTGGAGTCAGTGAAGCTTATTCCAACCCAGCGGCCCAGATACAACTACAGATATTCCTCTACTTACAACAGTTCACTTAGTGACCTTTTGAAGTTACAATGGCACTGAAAAAAGTTACTTATGACCATTTTTCACACTTATGACTATTACAGCATCTCCATGATCACATGATTTACATTTGGATGCTTGACAACTGATTCATATTTATGACTGTTGCAGTGTCCTGATGTCATGTGATCCCCTTCTGCAACCTTCTGGCAAGCAAAGTCAATGGGAAATGAGACTTGCTTA